TGAATCATCATTATTGGGGCCGTGTATGTTCGCAAGTGTATATGTTGTCTGATTAATGGATACCTTAATAATTATGGATCAGTGATAGATGTATTGTAAATTAATGGGATATTTTTATTAATTAAAATTGAGACGCCTCTTTGCCTACTGTTATATGTTGATGAAAACATTTGGTTAAATTGTTTACATTTAAGGTTTTGTGATTCTGGGTTTGTTAGATGGGTTTCTTGTAGAAAGCATACTGTATATCAGCATTTAATTTTATCAGATGGTTAATGATTTTAATCCTCTTAACCTGGGTCTGGAATCCACGCACATTCCATGACACTATTTTAAGTGAATGTGTTATTGTTTGTTATAGATAAATAAATGTTCGTAAGATGAAAGGAAGGAAGACGTGGGAAGGAGAGAGGAAGGAAGAGGAAAAAAACCAAAATGAAACAAAAAAAACATAAAAGGATTAACAAGATCTAGGGTTGATGCCTGTGTGTATATATGTATGTGTGTTAGTGTGAGCATAACAGTACAAAAGAACATAGACAAGTATACATTTCCACATGGTGTAATGAACAAACAAAAACACAAACAGAATAACACGAGGGGTGCCAATACAAAAGATGGTTGTAGGAGTCCATGTGAGATACTGCAGCTCTGTGTGTAAGGGGCCAGGGTGATGAAAGGAGGTAAAATTATTAACATAATGTAGCAGTCACTGGTCGGTATATATTCTTTACATAATCAGAAGAGCCATGTAGTTATGTTGAAGTCATGATAAAGCTGTCCTTCAGTGTGTAATTTGTTCACAATGTTTGCACGGTTGTTATTCTGCCTGTGTTGTTTCATGATGGGGTAGAGGATTTTCCTTTGTTCGTTTATTTCACACGGGAACTGATAATCAAGTACAAGGTTTGTGCTTGTTATGTGGATTGTTTAGTGAAGTAAATGTTAAATTCCTAGAAAAGGATTAATTGAAAGATTAGCCCAGTAATACATCTCTCAGTGACCAGGTGCCACCACGTTGAAACTCCCCTTTGCTCGCAATACACAGAGTATCATCCACCTACCCTGAGCCTTCATCCAAGAATGTGTCTCCACTGCACCAAGCTGCGTGCAGCTCAAGGTCACGTGTCCGAAAAGTTGTGTGTGAACAGTGTTAGTGTTTATTTAGCATATGCAATATTTCAAATAGTAGAAAAAACCCATCATATTAGGCAACATCAGCAGAGAGCAACAGGGGCTTAGTATGCCTTTGAGTCTAAATGTGCACAGAAAACACCATTTACTATTCAAATTATAATAAAGGTGCACAATTACTTTATTACCTCTGCATATTTCCCTTTAACCATTCTACAAGCATTTGTACTTTACTCTAGTTTGTAACTTTACTGCTCAAGCTTTATTCATAAGCTACTTAAACATCATGCTATTTGTCTCAGTCTTAGAGCTCTCAGAAAAGGTATGAAATCAAAGGCCAAATGGCCTTGCCCTTCAAATTATGAAATGTATAACCTGGTTTTATGCTTGTCATTTTTTTTAAAGTATTGGTTCTGGCACCATTGAGACACCATTTTAAAAGTATCATTTTAGTGCCAGCATCAGAAAAAACCCAAAGAATACCTAAACTTATTCCCAACTCTGGTTGGGGGTGTTTTATCTTGAAAGCCCCTTGGTACTCTAATTTAATGATGGAGGCCTGCCTGTCAGATTGAAACCTGCTGCAGGTCATAGTCTCATTTGCATATTGTTCCTCTGATTTGCCAGCTTTGTTCTACTTGTTCTAAAAAGCTTTTTCTCTTCACCTCTTTCCTACACTCCCCATCACACTGGACTGTTGACCCCAAATACTTAAACTCCTGCACCTTCTTGACCTCAGCCCCCCTGTAACCTCACTGTTCCACTTCCCTCCCTCTTGTTCATACACATGTATTCTGTTTTACCACGACTGACTTTCATTCCTCTTCTTTCCAGAGCAGACTTTCACCTTTCTAGGTGTTCCTCCACCTGCTCTCTGCTCTCACTACAGATCACAATGTCATCTGCAAACATCATTGTCCACGGGGATTCCTGTCTGACCTCATCTGTCAGCCTGTCTATCACCATAGCAAACAAGAAGGGACTTACAGGGACTTAAACAAGACTGGAGATAGAATGTCTAAATATTAAGAAGAGCTGCAGTTTTGTCTGTTGCTTGCTGCTATTTGTACTGTAGGAGTCTTTCCTTTGAGCTTATAAAATTACTGTAATTACTGTAGTCTCCAAAGTGACAGAGTTTCACATTTACACATGTGGCACAACAGGTGTAACTTCATTAGTTATTTGTAATTACTAATTAACACACACAGAGACAGGACTGGTCAGGATTAGCGGCAAGAAATATCATTCTTTATGTTTTAATTCTACTGTCAGTAAAAGCCTGTCAGGGCGGCTGCTGGGAGCTGTGGCTGTAAGGTCTCTGGTGCCTGTCACGCCAGCAATCCCCAAACACGGTGGGGGGACAAGGCAAGTAAGGGATGCCGTCAAGCTGAAGAAGGAGCTCTATCAGGCCTGGTTGGCTCATGGGACTCCTGAAGCGGCTGGCAGGTACCAACAGGCCAAGCAGGACGCAGCCCTGGCAGTCACCATGGCAAAAACTCAGGCCTGGGAGGATTTCGGTGAGGCCATGGAGGAAGACTTTCAGTTGGCTTCAAAGAGATTCTGGAGAACTGTCCGGCAACTCAGGAGGGGGAAGCAGTGTTCTGCCAACACTGTTTACAGTGGAGGTGGTGTGTTGCTGACCTCAACTGAGGATGTCGTTGGCTGGTGGAAGGAGTACTTTGAAGATCTCCTCAATCCCTCCGACACACCTTCCGTAAAGGAAGCCAGGGCTAGGAACTCGGGAGGGGACTTGTCCATTACCGGCTGGAGAGACTATGTCTGCCGTCTGGCCTGGGAATGCCTTGGAGTTCCTCCTGAGGAGCTAGAGGAAGTGTGTGGAGAGAGGGAAGTCTGGGAGGCTCTGCTCGGACTACTGCCCCTGCATCCCGGTCTCAGATAAAGCGGACAAAGATGGATGGACTTGTGACTTGCTTGACTAGTAGCGACTCGACTTGACCTGCTTGAATCTCATCACACTAACTTAGGACTTGATTGACAGCTGAAGGATCAGACTTGAGACTTGCACATTTGTGACTTACTCCCACCTCTGGTAAGTAGCCTATAGCCATAGAAACAGACGGGTATAAATCATGTAGCTGGGCTGTGTTGTCATTACAATGGGCAGGGCCGAGTGGGTAGCTAGGGGTGGCACTGGCCACAATTTTGCTAAGGTTTGCCTTCACATGGAGAAAACCACTGTGCAGCAGCAATGTCCCTGGCTGGGAGGAAACAAGGAGCGCAGCCAAAGTTACCTAAAGAAAGCACAATGTGTCTCATTATCACACAAAATTAACAATTTGATTCCACCTCGTGGGGTGGCTGTGGCTCACGAGGTAGGGCAGTTGTCTCCTGATCAGCAAGTTGTCTCCTGATCAGCAAGTTGGTGGTTCGACTCCTGGTCTCCCTGCATGCCCAAGTGTCCCTGAGCAAGACACTGAACCCTGAATTGCTCCCGGTGGCTTGACTAGCACCGTTGTGTGGCAGCCTGTCGTCATCGGTGTGTGAATGTTGTGTGTGAATGGGTGAATGGTGTATGATCTCCTGTAAAGCGCTTTGGCCAGTGCAACACACTGTGAGAAAAGCGCTATATAAATACAGTCCATTTAATAATGTATGGTATGCATTTCAAATGTGCCGTCTGTGTCTCAGGCTAGCCACCCTGTCAAAAATTTTCTATATTTGCCCCTGCCTCTTAGAAGTGGTGGGGCCTAGATATCACAACCTTTCCTGTACCACAAAGACCTGGAAAAAGAACACACTACATGCCATAGAAGGGTGTTATTTTTAATCAATCAGTAATGGAAACATTCTTTGCAGGACAAACCCAGAAACCAGCAAAGACCAAGTGACAGAAAAGAGAGAAAGGAAGTCATGCGTGTTATAGTTAGCAGGACAGATGTTGCCTAAGGCCTTAATTTAATAAAGCATGGAGTATGAGACAAAGAAAAACAGTACTCAACCAAGAACATTCTAAATATAATTTAATCATATTATGCATAAAGGATAATTACATTTAAATACAGTATGATTATATATAAATACTGCTATGGTCATAATGTACAATTAACAGGATTTTGTTAGGATACTAAAAAATTAAAAAAATAAATCAAGGTACATGAGATAATCCACCTGGTTCAACCACTTCTGATGGCAGTTCTACAGCACTAACAAAAGAAAAATAATTAAAATAGGGGGATTAAGTCAAGTGTCACATTGTTCATTGACCGAGCTATTACACAGTAGGTCCCACATGAGTAAACCTAACAGAAAGTAAGCCTTATAAAACCAGACAGGTGAGACATCACCATGGCTTTGGGTGTACTGCACAAACTCAGCACTTCCCTCAGCTATGAACCATTACAGCCCACTTAATTTTATGGCCTGTAACTTCACAAATTTCAGTCATCCCTCTCATCAGCATCCTTTCCAGTGGCAAGTGTTTTCAGTAAGAAAAGTTCTACACCACTGTGCACCCTGTGTCCAGCACCAGACAAACTCGGTTACTACCTGGAAAACATAGTGGAGCGCTTAGCAGTTAAAAACCCATAAGTCTCTCAGGAATTAGTGGAGACAAAACCTACCCTGCCTACCTTTGAGCAACGTTAAGGTCACTTACAGCAGTTCCACTACATATGCAATCAGGAATGAGCCGAGATTACTGCACCTACCACTCACTAGGATTGAGCTTGTATGCAAACATGTCTCAAACAGGACTTGTGACACCTTTTGAGTAACTTCTGCTAATAGATTTCCCGTGAAAAGGATGTGTGCTATGCTGAGTACAAGAAAAACTGGTTTATCAAGATGGGCAAATAGTTGCTTTGTGTCTGTGCTAAATGAGGACTCTTCAAATAAAATGTGCTTTGTGAGTTAGGCTGAACACACATATAGCCTGTCTGAAATTTAATTCCGTTGTTGCACAAAACAAGACCAGGAGCGTCACAACTAACCACTCCTGTAGTAAAACGTTTCTCACTTTATATTACAGTATTCTATCACATGCAGATCAGACATTGTGGATTTCATTTGACTGCAATGACAAGAATCAAATGGAATTTTGTATGGACATTTAAATCTGTTACTTTAATTTAATTAAAACATCATGATAATTTTCTTAATTTGATTATGTTGTGGTGCACACAGTGGGTTTGTTTTTTGCTCCATTCTTTCCACATATTAGTCTGGTCAGTGTGCTAATATTGGCCAGCATCATCATAAGACGACACATCCATGTCAAAGAACTCCTCCAGCTTCCACTGCAGGGTCTCGAACGTGGGCCGGTCCTGTTCATTCTTCTTCCAGCAGTCCATCATGATGTTATACATGGGTTTGGGGCAGTTTGGGGGGCACGGCATTCTGTAACCCTGGGAAATCCTCTGGACGACCTGGAAGTTTGTCATGTCTGGAACAATCAGAAGGACATGATCACAGATCAAACAGAAGAGACCTCTGCATTCAGATATTTTCAGACTTTGACAACTACATCACTTATAGAACAACTGCATTTTTTGGATGTCACATTTTTCACAATCTTCCTAGAATTGTATATAAATAAATGTTACCTGGGTAAGGCATCTGTCCAAATGTCACAATCTCATACAGCAAAATTCCAAAGGACCAAACATCAGATTTAATAGTGAACTTGTTGTCATGGATGGCCTCTGGAGCGGTCCATTTCACAGGAAATTTGGCGCCTTCTCTGGGCTCGTAAACATTCTCATTCTCTTTCTAGTAATCAAATGGCAAACAATACAGATTCTTACTTTCGGTCAGTCTGCTCTAATGCAACAATCTGCAATTCCACAACATAGCTGGGTTTTAGAGAGGTATTTGATACATCACAGCATCACAAAATACCCGATGAGAAAATACCTGGAGTGAAAACAATTACTGTATGTGGCTTGGGTTGTAGAGCATTTATTAAGCTGTACAGCACAATGCATGCCGGTGAACAAGGGCAGCATGTGGAGAACGTGGGCTTGGTTTCATTTCAAGGCTTTAAAATATAGGTCCAACACCCCAAACACTTACCAAGCTTCATTGTATAAGGTGAAAATTTCACTTGTATCAGTAAAATCTAGTGATAATTTTGTGTTGTGAGAACAATGACACTTGCTACACACAGTGTAAAATAGAGCTTTAAATGTCAAACCCACCATGAAGACCCTGGCAAGGCCAAAGTCGGCAACCTTGCAGATGTTGTTCTCCCCCACCAGGACGTTCCTGGCTGCCAGGTCTCTGTGAATGTAGTTTTGTAGCTCCAGGAAAGCCATGCCTGATGCCACCTGGGCAGCCATCTCAATCTGGTCAGACATACATAGCGTGGTACCTTTATCCTCTGTAATCAAGCAAGAGAGACACATAATGTACAGTATCACAGACCTACCATGATTCAGGCACAACATGTAGCAAAGTTTTAATATCATTATCTATATGTAAATTATTATGGCCTGTTACAAACAAACAAAAAAATCTGAGTCTCCAACTTCTGAGTTTGACTGCAGTCAAAGCTAGAGTCTGAGTCAAAGTCAGTCAGTGTTCAAGTCCAAGTCAAGTCACGAGTACCAAAAACCAGGACTCCAGTCCAAGTCCTGGATTTGAGCACTACAACACTTCCACAGAGAATAATAAAATCCAATTTATAAAATATAACCAGAACCAACAGACAGATATCCCGTAGAAACAAGAATCAGTAAAAACAATTTGCATTTTTGCCAAGATTAGTGTCTACATATGGGACATCTGAAGTCAAGTAGCTATTGATTGAATATTGTAGTTACAAGGTTTAAATAAGAATAGTGGTGTGAGGAAATCTGGCAGTTCTGCAACAGTAAGGCCTTATAAATACATAAAAAGATAGTTAATTACTCTTGACTGCAAAGAAGCCCATCTGACTTTGCTGTACAGAGAGCTGTGACAAGAAAACAATGTATCACTTGTAATGCACTGTGGTCAACAGGATTCAACAGCTGAAGTACAGATGGGGCAGAATGACAGTATAGAATATCTCCATAATTAAGAAAGGCAAATTGGCTGAAACATTCACAGTTTTAAATAGTAATTGTGATTCAAAAGAGTGCCATTCAAATTGGTCTCTTTTTAATTAAGTTATCACTCACATGAGGTAAAACAGTTATTCAGTGAGAACAGACTTGAAAACTTTGATGATTCTCAGGGACGTTATTGAGTTTTCTTCTGAGGTCTTGGTGGATTTATGGACAATCATTCACAATATACAATGACGATAACAATATCCTCAAAAGTGCAAGCCAAATTGAGTCCCTTTCACCTCACAACAGCTTTACCTCAAGTACACTTACAGTATGGAACCACAAGTCTGAAAAACAAGACTGCAGAGACTTTCCCTTTTAATGTTCTGTATTTTGCGTAATCTGGCCTAAATATTAAAATCTAAAATGTTTACATTTTTTTAGACTACCCGAAAACAAAATTGGTAATGTCAAATATGTGCACAGGGACAATGTTTAGACCGAGAATCTACACTGGTTCTGTTTCCCTAGTATAAACCTCTGTACTGTAGCCTGACCTTTGCCACAGCTGTGGAGATTGTTTTCAGAACTGCATCAGGAGCAGTGTTGAACCTTGATTCCATCATAAAACGGAGCCATGTGTAGGTGCAAGTACAGCCATCTTACTCTGGAGGTACTCTAGCAGGCTGCCATTCTTCATCAGCTCTGTGATGATGTAAATGGGCTCCTCCAAGGTGCAGACAGCATACAGCTGAATCAGCTTGGCATGCCGCAGACCCTTCATCATCTGAGCCTCTTGCAGGAAGTCCCGAGTATCCATGGTACCTGGGAGATGTGTTCAGAGATTGGGGGGTCAAATTGTTTCCTAAAATTATTCACATCTCTGAAGACACATTTTGTGGTGTAGTGTTTGTATATTTGCTCTTACAAAGATCTTTGGATTTCAGTTTCTGAATAAGTACTATTATTCTAGTTGCTTTGTTTTAGTTTGGTTACACATAGAGGCTAATGATGCTTGTGTTGACTATCATGTTCGTTTTCCAAACAAGGAACTACGCCTGCTTACATTCTAGATATTCTTAACAAAATTTTAAATTCTGAGAAATTAGCCCATGACAAATAGCAATGACAGCCACACAGAATAAAAACCTGTATAAAAGCCAGAGGATCCAGGAGATGAGGTTTAATTGGGCTTACCTAAATTACACATTATTCTTAGTGACAATGAGAAATCTAAATGAGGTACCTCAGAGACCTTACTTTGGTCTAGTTATCTTGTTCCTTTAAATAATCTTTCTTGAGGGCTGCCCTTCTAAAGAACCACAGAGAACATTAAAACCAGGAGTCTTAAACTCTTGCCACTTGTTAAAAGCTAGCCAGTGGACCTTCAGTTGAGATTGCTTTGTGAAAATGATCATTTTCAAGAATGAACTTTCAATCTTAATATTTCAGATGGTTATTTCTGGTTTGTCCGGTTCCATCTAGCACCTTGAGATCATGTGATGAACAATCAGTGTTAACTTAATTTATGTTACTTGTATTTTTAAATTGCAAATAAGTGATTGTGCTTGTGTACCAGGTTTGAGGGTTTTCACTGCAACTGGTGTGGTTTCATTCCACAGGCCCTCATAGACGTCACCAAACTGTCCGGCTCCCAACTTCCTTATCAGCCTGATGGATTCGCGGTTAATCTCCCACTGGTCCGCTGTGTTGTAGGACAGACCGTGAGTCTGTGGGGCCTCCATCTACAAGGACAGGAAGAGTCGCTGTTAACTGAGATGATACTTTGCTGTTATACTTTCATAAATAGAATAGAAACAAGGCAATAGTAGAAAAACAGCACGTGTTTAGGTCATACTGTAATGTATAGTGTGTTTTACCTTTTTGCATGGTTCACCCAGACAGACGCAGAGGCCATCAGCCTGTCTGGAGTAATGTTCCACCAACTCCTGCAGTGTTTCAAAAGTTTTGGTCCTCGACACAAAGAAGTGACCATTATCCAGTTTCTTAACCCTGTAATGCTTCACCCTTCTGTTGTCCAGTACTGAAAGAGAAGTCAACATCCAGTAATATACTCAAGAGTCATCAACTGCACAAGTAAGGCTTAGTCATGCTATGGTGGACCTAAAGCTTTTAATCAGTGCAAGTGAACACAAATTTGTCATAGTCCTGCTTATACAACAGGATCAGTAGGAGATATTCCAATAGGCTTAATATTCTAAGAAGTTGCCATTTCCATTAGTTTGTAATTGACTTGTGATCAAGAAGATTTTTTATTTTTCCTTTGACTTACTGTTGTCATTACATCATGTCACCATAATAGAAACGTATTTATGTTAAACGGATTAACTGTGCTTCCATGTATAGTAGTACGGGTACATTTTTGGCTGATTGAGGGAAGTGCAAAAAACAAATTTTGCCTATACAATTTCATAGAAAGGAGATATAGTCAACATGTTAGCAAACAAAGGCATATTTTTATATCTAACCAACAAGCAAGTCATGTTTGTGTCCACCTGATGAATCCAAGGTCAAAATCCATCCTACTTTTAGCTTCATTTTGATTTCCATCTCTTGATAAGATATCTGGCTCTTTAGCTGCTCCTGCTAGTTGCCAGCTTTGTCTGTCTGCTGTTTTCTGCTGAGCAAGTAGTTTGAGTAAATTAGGTTTATTGAGGCTGGAGCAGAACAGTAAAGCTACAGGTTGTAAAACAATGAACAGAATGACGCTGTAAAGGTCTGAAGGGATCTCCAGAACTGATGACAATTCTCTGTGGGTTCATGCCTACAAGTTGCATCTATTACATCACACAGGCAACTGCATATAGGAAAATATTCATTAGTGCAGCTTTAAGATTGAGTTAAATATAAATAAATGAACTGATCCACCACTTTGTGTGAAAACTATGGTTTAGTTCTTCCGAGAAATTTGACAGGGGAAGTTGCTTAACATGACACCTCTCTGATTTTGACATATACAGATGTATCAAAGTATTCATCCCCCTTCATGTCACGTACACTTTATCATGGTTTATATTTAAAGAACAAGGCTTGCCATTTTTATATACTAAATAGTATTTTTAGCTATCTACATACAGAGACTAAAACTGAGTGCTTCCACTCACAGTTGTCTGTCTCTGTGACAGATTTTCATTGTTGTTCAGCGACGATTAAAAACACATCAGTGAAACACACCACTCCACTTTGTGACACGTTTTTTTTTTTTTTTTTTTTTTCCCCCCCCCATTATCCCAGGCTCCACGATTTTGGCCCAAAGGCTCTGAGTGGCCATAATTTCCTGAGCACAAGTCAGAGTCAACTGTGCATGTGCGAAGTTTTGTGTGAGATCTCAGCTTTGTTTACAGTCCGCTAGCTTGTCACCTTTGGGCCTGGAGTTTGCTAATGAAGAAATGTCACCCAGTGCAGTGGTGTGTTTCAAATCATCTTTGTCTGTGGGACAGACAAAGATGCTGATCAAGGACTGACAGATGTTAACAGTGAGTAGAGTACATTTAATTAAATGTACTCTACTCATTAAATGTAATCAGTAAATCCAATGAATTAAATCAGTAAAGCTGGCATAGAGTAAATATGTTTTCAGCTGACTGGCCTGCTTCACACACAAAACCAGTGAATACATTAGTGGCTGTGAAACGAATCAGGCCATCGATTAGTTTAGTGAATGGACGCAAATAAATAAAAACTGGCTGTAATGAAAGAGCAAGACAGATTACAACCGAGAAAGAGAAATTTCTCACTGCTTCTATTGGAATAGAAACTGTTTGTTTAACTTAATGACTTTGAATCCATCATTCATTTGAGTGAACAAGTCAATTTATTTGAACAATGCCTGTGGTGGGAAATGTGTGCTTTGTGGCACTGAAGGACACACACAGCAGAACCAACATGACTTCATGTGAGTAACAGTTATTGATACTGTGGTAAATACACAACTGAAAAAGGAAATCTGAACACTTTTAGAAAGTTGTTCAGATAATCCCACACCAAACTGGCTCTTCAGTCAGATTCATTAATTCTAGATTAATATTATTTAGGATGCATTAAACCAAAGTTCTGTTTTTAACTATAATGAGTATGGGTAAAATTAGCTGACTAGCCAAAACAATTATTATTTTTCTTTAAAGATGTCACAAACATTTAAACAAGCTTATGTAGCCAACCAGTGTCCAATAGGACAACTGTGGACAATTATGAGATCATGGTCAGTTCTCAAATCAGTGAGTTACTACTACTGCCAGTGCAGCAGTATAGAGCATCTCCGCATATTTCCCTTAAACAGCTCCACAAGCATCTGCACTTTAAATCCTAGTTTGTAACTTTACAGTTGTATAAATACATACACATCATTTGTCTATGGGCCTTCATGTCCTCCAAAAATGTATGAAATATGAGGTCAAATGGCCCTTCCCTTCAAATTATGAAATTTATTGCCTGGTCATAAAGCCAGAGGACTGACTCAGCAACACCAGATAAAGAGCAATATAAAGCTATATAAAATTTGTTCACACTAGCATCTAGCTAGTGGTCAGACCAGGCTACAGCACCGAACCCAAGTGTATTGAAATGAGCATGGCTGTGTTTTACCTTCCTTTTATTTGTAAGAAAAAGAACACAGGATGTAAACTTTTGGAACAGAATTATGCCCTTCACTTCTTAGAGGAGACACAAACCCACTATGGAATATGCCATTACTCATATTCATTTATTATTTTGTATAAACCCACCCCCAGTCAACAACCTGACCATTTTTTTGCTCCTAAATTAAACAGTGTTTGTTTTCTTGCTTATGGGAAACTTATTAAAAACTAATGTAAATTCTTCTTTAGCTCACCTGAGAGTGACAGCTCCCCACTCTGACTTTCACAGTTTCGGATGAGGAAGGCACCATCTATGTTCCCTGCAGCCTGCAGCATCTTCTCTGCATCCAGCCTCTTGGTGTCAGGAAAATACCATCTGCAAATCAGACACATAACAAAAATTAATGTACATTTAAAAAGAAAAATCAATTCCCAGGGAACTGAAAGGTTCACTGTGTGTATTGATAATGTGATTGATTGCAAAATGGCTTGTTGATACTGTCTGCTACACCTAAAGCACATTATGACACTGTATTTTCTACCTTTAGTGTCAAGAATAAGCTAGTGATATTCCACAAGTTTCCTTTAGTCAATCCCCTGAAAAACCACAAAACCACAATGAATGTATCCAACTCGCAAGTATTGTGTCCATCTGAAGCCTGATGACAGCCGGTATATCATATTCCTCTGTGCCACAGATCTCCAAAAACTAAAGTCACATTAGTGACCAACACTGTTGCACTGGGTGTCATGTTCCTTCATTACCATGAAGGCACACTGGATGGGCAATGTAAGAGTAAGGCAAAATACACAGAGCAGTTATTCTGAATGACTCTGCTGCTGACAATAGTCCCAAACAAAGTCACTAGTTCCTCATGTTTCAGTAACATTAGCTATAAGCAGTAGCACCCACTTAAAAAAAAGGTTTTTGAAAAAAAATGAGGCACTCTACAGGATCACAAATATAAAAAGATTTTAATATCTCATGTACATGCACAATGTCAATCAGGTTCATCAGATTCTGATGCAAGCTAAGAAACCTATGGCAAAAAATCCGATCTGAGCATTAAGACCTGCAGTGTGAACGTAGTCTTAGTCAAGGGAAGACTGAAGTAAAGGGGTACAAAGTATAATGCCAGTGTAAATCCACTGTCTAAGTCTCTCCAGTTACATGTTGCTATTTTGTGGGGTCATGTAATTGTTGAATTTAATCTTTTAATCTAATTTGCATTTCAGTGTTTTGTCTATGTATCCATTTTGTCTTGGCTATTTGTGTACATTGTTAAGCACTTTGAAGTGATTTATCTATGAACATGTGCTAACAAACTTGCCTTGTATGTAACAAACTGAGACTACTAAATGGAGAACAAAACATGCCCATCAAGTCTGTGACTTAGTAAAACTATGATGCAACCAATACCTAGACTATTGAAGGGAATCGATACTAGCCTATTTACCCTTGTAGACAAAACAGGAGAAACCAGAGTACAGCCAAGCAGAAACCAGTTTCACTAAGATGCTATGTAACCTGAGAATGCATCACAAACATGGGTTGGACTTTTCAGTGAGCTTTGACAGGAAAGAAAATGGGCTTCCTATTTTTACATGTGAAAACAACTTGGGGAAAACCCAATACTTCCGTATCTGAAGGTGCCAAGGTTTTTTTTATAGAACACTGATTAAACTGTAGGATGATAAATTTGAATTTGTTACAAAACCAGTTCCTCTTTGTTCACATGGGTGTGATCATAGCAGTCAAACTAACCAAGAAATGGCAGCAACAGAAATGATTAACCCGTAAGATTAGATTTCCTTGTCACAGACAATTATTAACTAGTGTTTAATGCAGGACAACACATGATTCTGAACTATGGTCACATTTTACACTTATCCAAGTAGACTAACGACAGGCTACATGAAAATGACATACTGAGATTCAGTTTAAAGACCGTCTGTAGTATCAGCATTTACTGAAAACATTACAGGAAGGATGAACACAGTAAGAACTTACGGTTTAGCATCAATACTCTCCACAGGTGCCACATAATTAGCAGGGATGTATCCCTCTTTGAAAGCCGAAACCCCGGTGAGGGCTTTAACAAACCACCATTCATCAGTACGTTTCTCAATAATCTCTAAAGTATCTCCAGCGTTGAAGCTCAGGTCCTCGTGGGTGCGAGCGGAGTAATCATACAGGGCAATGTAACAGTCCTTCGCTTTCGCCACTGGCAGCGGCGGTAATGGTTTTTTCCTTGACCCACGTCTCACATCAGGGGGATCATCAGGTTGACCCGGTTTGTTAAAACAATTCAGAAACCTCTGCCAACACGCAGTCAGTCTCTTCTGGAGGTCCATGGTCGTCAATCACAGCAAGCCATTCTGCGTTGGGTATTAAGACAGAAGCAGTTGGGGAAATTCCATCTCCTCGCTCATGGTCCACATTCCATAAGATAAAGAGTCATTTAAATAATCGTACGATCAAAGTAAAGGCAGTTGTATCTCACCTCAGCGCAGCCAGCTAACAATGCAGAGACAAGGAAGTGACCACCACTTAAATGTTCACTTTCCTGGCAGGAAAACTAGGACGGACTTCACACTTCGGTGTGCCAATCGCCTGCACCTGCTGAGGAGCGGGGAGCGGCTCAGGTGTACTCTCACCAATGTAGCGTCATGTGCCCCCTGGCGGCCATATTGGCGAAAAGCACCTGGGAGCTACACCAGCTGGAAGAAGAGCTGAAAAGATGTTTTAAGTTTGGAATATGTCGCAATTCTGTGTTGTAATTGTCAATGGATTATTATATTATTAAAATAATAATGGTACATTCAAGATATATGATGAATGTCACTTCCGTTTTTTTCGGGGTCGCCAGCAGCGAATTGACAAGCATGTTGACATTTGTTTTACGCCGGATGCCCTTCCTGACACAACCTTGATTTGAACCTGCGCCACCACGGTGAAAGCACTGCGTCTTAACCACTAGCCTACCAGAGAAGGTTCACATCCAAAATATATTGTGGCGACCGCTGGCTGGGTCGAGGAGAGCTGGTCCGATCCTAACCTGACTGTGCAACTACTATCCAGCTGTGTGCTGGCACCTAGACTGGCAATGAGGAGAACACCGTCTCTGTCTTTTCTTGGCTTTATTCAGCCGTACAAAAACAAGAAAGACAAGGGTTGTAAAACGCAGCACTATGTGCTCACTGGAACAGGTAACAAAACAGAACATTACAGGTCTCTCCCCGAACTTCACCATCGCCCGCCAACAGAACCAAACCAACACGCCCACCTGTCATCCCTCTTATCTCCTCCCGCACCTGTTCCTCCAGAACAGCGCGGCATTTCACAGAAAACAGCAGTAACCAATACATGAACAGCCTTCAACAACAATGTCAAACCCATTTGCACACAACAGAACACACGAACATCAGCGGCCGGTCAGGGTCGCCACAATATGATACTATAGGTAAAACATATGGGATAATACAATTGGAAGTAAGTAAAATCTATACTTATTATGAGATGAGGTGTTACATAATAAATCGAAATGAGATCATGAGACAAAATCATCACAGTATAAGGTCCTGGGGACCAAAGCATACCTTAACTACGTATGTTTAAAAAAACCTAAATGACACTCAGTAAAATTAGATGAATTATAAATAAAAACATTTGTGAAATTACAAGCTGGTGTGGTTTTCAAAATTCTGACTAAGGCAAAATTACACTCAAGTGATATAAATCAAAATATATATTCATCTTTGACATTGTTTCATTGTTTGACTTATAATAACTCGTAATTCTGACAAACCACAAGTCCATCCATCCATCCATCTATTTTCCTCCGCTTATTCGGAACCAGGTCACGGGGGCAGCAGTCTAAGCAAAGATGCCCAGACTTCCCTCTCTCCAGACACTTCCTCCAGCTCCTCCGGGGGAATGCCAAGGCATTGCAGACTAAGCAAAGATAACCAGGATAATTAAAGACGCCCCCGGGGCCTCCTCCCGGTGGGACATGCCCGGAACCCCTCCCTAGGAAGGCGCCCGGGAGGCATCCGAAACAGATGCCCGAGCCACCTCAGCTGGCTCCTCTCGATGTGGTGGAGCGGCGGTTCTACTCTGAGCTCCTCACCCTATCTCTAAGGGTGCGCAAAAGTATTTTTGTTTTATCATTCTTAACTTTTCCTCTGGTGGACCTGGATTTCCATGTCATGTGATGCATGATTACAACAGAAATGCACAAAAACAAGTGTGCACTCCAGAGTAAGCTGTTCAACCTCTATATAGTCCTAGACTGCTGGGTTGGGTCGTCCCATGATGCTGAGCCCCTCTCCTCCCCTCTCCATTATAATTTTATATACCACCATTACAGGTCATTAACTGTGTGTCCTCTCTCTCTCTCCCTGTACCTTTCTGCAGGTTGCCCTGTCTCTAGAGCT